AGATTTTAACAACTCTGAGCTATTAGTTAAGTTCTCCCCAAGCGAGCTCGATGGGCCGAATGGCCTCCTCTCGTTTGTATAGTTCTTATGTTCTTATGTTCTTATGTAGGACAGCATGGTATTGGATCATTTCTAAGCGTTACTATGTGATTTTATTGTAATGAATATTCGGGTATTTATGAAACAAAAACATAAATTTCCCACAAACCCGTCTAGAAGTGATTTAAACACCAAGGATGAAAATGATTATGATCGTCTTAGAACGCATGCAGAGCTCATGCAAAAGCAGCTGAGGTAAACTTTAAACTGATTTTTAAACTCATGCTAGATAATCATGAAAATGAATAATAATAATTAAAATTGCAAAAGTTGCTAAGTTTTTTTTTTTTTCGTGTCACAGTAGAAATGTTTTAACGAAACCTAAAGTCACTGCGCTTTAATGTCCATACAGAATTGAAGGTAAGAAAAACCTGATTTTAATCTAGCTGACTAGCGATGTGAGAATTGTATGTGCATAACATGCAATGTTGGAATTAATATTGCACATTGTCCAGCTCTATAATACACTACATCCATTTTTAGAATTCAGTACAACATACCCTGCCTCATGTTGTGATGTCATTTGGCGCTGGTACCAGTTTATACACCTGTGGAAACCAACACCTTGAAGTACTGTACTTTTGGTACTTTCTTGGAGTATCAAAAGTAAGGTACCTGGTGCAGTGGAAAAGCACTTTTTGAAGAGAATGCAGAATTATGGGATGCTTGAGACTCTCTGGGGAAAGTAGGAGTGCTTGTTTTGATCCATCGGATGTAATACAATGCATAAGAACCGTTGTAATTTGAAATGCGATCACATGGAGGTGTGAACGAGATCAGTTTTTTTTTCTGCTTTTACTATTAATAGTGCAGCCCTATAATGAGGGATGTGACAATGAAGATCCCTTTATTGGAATTTTAAATGACAGACTGTTGCTTGGGTTTCTGCTGTCTCATGCACTTTATCATCTACCTTTATCAATTAAGGTAGGGGGAGCCAGAGAGCCGCAGGTGGAGGTGTGAGTGTCTTGGGTGCGAGGCCTCAGTACGGCCAGATGTGGGAGAGTGGGCAGTACAGTTGGATGTAATGTTCACTGTAGCCAGTGAGAACCAGAAAATACAGTAAGCAGAAAATATTGTATGAATTTAGTTGGAGCGTAAGAGCCAAGTGACTGTTCTTCACGTTATAGCCAGTAGGCACAGCTTCAAATGGACTCTTAAACCACATTTGTAAAGTAAGCCATTGCAGTAATAAAAATTTATAATTAATATATGATTTGTTGCGGCCTGATTTAGCCTGGAGGATTCAAATGAGTAACCCTTGCTATTTGTTGCAGTAACACTGATTGTGGACTAGAGGGCAGTGTCTCCCAGCTTATTGTGAATGTAAGCAGGAGTTAAACGCTATGGGTGACGAACACAGTAAAATAAAATGCAGTAAGGCTCTGTGAAAGCCGGTCACACACAGCATGCTCTGTACATGCATGCCGGTGTTAGCAGTGGCTGAGCCTCTCTCCTCTCCTACCCTCCTTCTCATGGAAATTCTGTTCTTAATAGGGTTATGGATTTGCGTCTTGCTTGGTCTCCCTGTGTTTGTGTTTATTTCTCTTGGCTTCTTCCCTGCTCTTCAGGGCCATTAAGACACTGGGTGACATTTTTTGCTACTTTACCCCACGCTCTTTTGCCCCCTGCAGGTGATCCTGGGTAACTACATATGGCTGACCTTTACAGAGGTTTTCGAGGCCGCGGCCCAGTTTGGCAGAGGCCTGGCGGCTCTTGGCCAGAAGCCCCAGAAAAACATCGCCATCTTCTGTGAAACGCGGGCAGAATGGTTCATTGCCGCACAAGCCTGCTTCATGCACAACTTCCCTTGTAAGTCCAGCTCTGACCCTGATGCTTCAAGTTGGAGACCCTGTAGCTGGTGTGGGAGCATAAAGCCGGGGTGGTCGCATGCCACATGGTCCTCTGATAAAACTGAAAAATATCATTTTGGTTAATTAAAAATGTGTGAAGTGTGGCTAGCTGGAGTGGGATATATTGGGCTGTAGAACATAAAGACAGTCTGGCTCTGAGTGTCCCAGGATGAACTGTTGGATTTCTTTTCCAGTTTTATTTGGACAGTATTTACTGAAAGAATTTTTTCAAAACAGCCCCTTTCCTGGGACTCTGGTCAGCCATGTGACATCACAGCATCTAGCCAATCACAGACGACGGGGAAGGGGAGACGGGGCTGTCGTACACTGTCGGCACGTGGCATGCTTTGGCATGGCTCAGCATGACCTGGTTACTGCAGTGCTGTTCACACTCACGGTGTCCACGAGGACGACATCTCATAGATCACGAGGACCCCCCAGCATCCGGCCTGTTGTCCCACGTCCCTCGTATTACATATGGGGTGGGGGTTTGGGGTGCTTGCATTCCCCTGCCATCTGTGAATGGGCAGAGTGACTGTGGGTGTGTTAGGAAGATCACATGACAGTAAGATACTGCGGGGGGGTTGTGATACTCAGGGAAAATCGAATGGGAACGGGGTCAGTGTGTCCTGGCTGTATGCCCGCCGTCCTACTCTTATGTAAGTGTCCCGCTCATCACCCTTTCTCATCTTTTCCCTCCACTTCTTTGGTATGTTCGGAATTCCTCATCCTTATCCCCCCATTACTGAGATGTCAGCGCTCTCCATCCCCCCGCCCTCCAGGCTACATGCAGGGGTTTGCAGGGGGTCCATCACTGCTGTTGGGCACCCCCGTCCTGAGATGCTTATGGCGGCAGCGGGGTGCACCCTCTCTGGCCGGTGATCTCAGGTCCTTGGAGCTATAGCTTTAGGCTGTTTCTCGAGGGAGGTGAATCAGACGGCACCCCCTGCTGGCAGGGAAGAAAAACCAATGGCATGTGATGTTTGTAGGAGCCTGCTGTTGTTTTGAATGATTCTGGGCTCAGTGTACCTTTATGGGCGTCTGAGGCAGTTAAAATGGTGGCTTAGCCTAAGGCTGAGGTGTCATGCTTTCACCCCCCATACCCCATCATCAGGGTCACTTTGCTGGGGGTGACATCACCTCTCTGAAAAGTGTTCAGGTGAATCGCTGTCATGTGGGTTTGAGCTGGTGCCGGTCCAGCCAAGGGGTCCAAGGATGGTTCATAGTTGCTGACCACCAAAAACAGGATAGCTGATGAATAGACGCGTTGTTGAGATCCCGTCAGACGGCTCGTCTGTGTCTCTGTCCTGTGGACATGCGCCGGGCCGTGCTGTGTTTACTCCCCATACGCTGGCCATAGGGTTGTGATCCCATCCTAAAGGGACCTATTAGAACAGGATGTGACTGGGGGACTTGCTGAGTCCTGCACATGGAAAAGGGCAGTCTGTTTGCCTGGGGTCCCAAGCGGCTTCTGCTTCAGCGTCTGTCAGAGTTCAGCTTTCAGCTGCCCCACCCCCCACTCACATCCTGGCAAATGCATGTTTATGGTCAGTCAGTCTGCTGAGACTCGCTCCGTGAATTTCTGTATGCCATGTTATACTGTATCTCACACGAATGCTTTCTTGACCTTAGACCCAGAAAGGTTGCATTCAGTTTTCCAGTAGTGCCATTCTGGTCTTCCGGCATTATCCTTACCTTTGCCCCATATCGGCACGTCCTCCAAGGTAATGGCAACCCGCATGTGGCTGCCATGATCCCGTCTGACTGGAAGTATTTCATTTCCGGTCTTTATCAGAATGACACACAATAGCAGTAATCAGGCTGAAAGGGGCGGGAGAGCTCGTGGGAATGAGCGATTTGACCTCCCCTCACACCTCGAACCCGGGACAGCTGGCGCTCGGATTTGCAGGCCTCCGTGGTGATTTGCACATATCCCACCATTCTTAGCAAAACAGAGCTGACTTTGCCCACAAACTATTTTTCCTATTTCAACCCCCCTCCCTTTTGCAGATATTACTGAAAACAAACTATGGTTAGAGGCTGCAAAAGGAAGCTGCCGTTCCTTTAAGATTGGTTATAGAGTTGAGGACAATGAGATGGGGGGACATTTTCTTGGAATGTACCTCACTGTCGGTCCGCTGTCTCCATTGCAGCGTTTTCTCATCATGGGAGTTCTGGTTGAGACATTGCATTACCATCCAAACGGCTGTCAGAGGGCTCCTGGCAGAGAGGGGTCGCTCTGTGACAATGCCAGTAACAGAGCTGATCGACAGTCTCTGGCCTCTGCTCCTGCTGCACCCCAAATGCTGTCAGGCAGTTCCTGTTATAGCTGTGTCCTTGTCCAGGCTGATACACAGTGATGTATGCTTGCTTCAGTTTGCGGGTCTGCTTGGCCGACGCCCATCTGGGCTCAGCCCATGTTCTCTAACCAAGCACAGACACTGACGTCAACTTCTAGACCACAAAATGTCATGCCGTCTTTAATTTACCCTGGGTGAGCTCGCCGGTGAAAATTGATAGTACTATGTCTCATGTGTTTGTTAATAAGGTTATTTAACCAAAACCCTTTATACTTGAACTCATGCACCCCAATCAATCATTTCTAGTTTTGTCACCTCACATTTCATTTGGAGTGTAAAGCCTGGTTCTTTATCTTGTTTTGCAGTCTGCAGTGTGCCTTTTGGGGCTTATACCAGGTCCAGTGCTCACAATGATATTGCTCGTTCTCTGTGCATAGTGGTCACCTTGTATTCCACCCTGGGGGGTCCAGCCATCGCTCATGGGCTCAACGAGACGGAGGTCACCCACATCATCACCAGCAGAGATCTGCTTCAAGCTCGACTCATGGTAGGTCTGAGACCCTGGGCTATGCGAGCGAAAGCTGTACGAGCACACAGGAGAAACCCGAAAGACACTCCTGCCATAGTGTCCCGAATGAGCCGCACCCCGGGTCCACATCCTGCTGAGTGTCTCCCTGGTCTCCAGCAAACCTGACTGGAAGCTCTCCTCCTCCAGGCCATCCTGCCAGAGGTTCCCAGACTCGAGCAGATCATTGTCGTGGACAGCAAACCCAGCGCCTGGCCCCGCCTTCCTGAGGGTGTACGTGTTCACAGCATGGCCTCTGTGCAGGAGCTGGGAGCCAGACCCGAGAACAGTGAGGACAGCTGTCTGCATTTCGTGGTGATGACGTGTGTGTGCGTATGTCTGTGTGTGTGTGTGTTCGTGTGTGTGTCTCTGTCTGTCTGTGTGTGTATGCATGGATACACACACACACATCCCGTGTGTCTGTATGACTGTGTGTGTGTGTATGTGTGTGTGTGTGTGTATGTGCTCGTGTCTGTCCGTTAGTCTGTCCTTCCACCTTAAGCCAGTGAGATAAGATGCTCCATGATGGATGGCGGGACTGAACATCTGCGCTCCATCAGGGGGCTGTTTCTACACTAACTCTGTCTGACAGCCAAGTGAGACATTTCATGAGCTTTAGACACGCTTTGCCTCCACAAATCTCGAAGGCCTCTTTTTTCCTAAAGCTGATGAGGCAGAGTGGTTCGAGGTATTTCTGTGCTTGGGGGCTGGGGGAGGCCCTCGTCGGGTCATGTGAACAAGGATGCGGCAGGGAGCGCGGGACACATCTGTGTCAGATTAGCCCCCCACCCCCTCCCCGGCTGTTCTCAGAATGCTCTCGCGGCCGGTTCCGCATCTTCACCTCCAGGCCCGGCTGCATGGCCCGGCGTCCTCAGCTGTGCATGGTGCTGCTCTGAGGACATGGACTGGACCTTGTTTAAAAAAAGCCGTTACCAAACGTTCACATGACATCCCATGCCGGCCCGGTGTGCCCCCCCCCCCCATCTTGGCCATGCCGCCCGTCACCGTTCTCGTGGAAGTCCTCCAGGTCTTTAAGTGTTCTGTTTTGGTACTGCTCTTGGACTCTTCCTTCTTAGAACTGTTTATTTTGCATGATTGAGTTATTTACAAGAAACATCAAATTTCCCACAGGAGTGTTTTTTTGCTGGCAATGAGAGTATTGAACTTGACGACAGTCTTCTGTACAGTGGAGGGGGAGTCTTAGAGCTTGGCCCCCGCAGAGGCGCTTCAGCACGTGTGTGATGGTACCATCCATGACCGCAGTGAAAATGGTTGTAAGAATTCAGTGTGTGTGTGTGTGTGTGTGTGTGTGTGTGTGTGCGGCACTCAAAATAAGGGTCAGAGCCAACACAGAATGACCCCTGCGTGCCTTAATATGATGGTTATCCTGTCTTCGTATAGCTGTGATTAAGGTATCGGTATTTTAAAGGGGTAGTTATGAAACTTGCCTATTTAAATTAAAAGCCTTTTAGCTACCTTACCTTTAAGAAGAAGCACTCCCCTGTATCTGTGTGTAATCAGCCCTCCCCCCCCTCCCCCCCACAGGGGTCAAAATGCCCAGCCGGCCGGGGCCCTCAGACATCGCCGTCATCATGTACACCAGCGGATCCACAGGCATCCCTAAGGGCGTGATGATCTCCCACAGCAACCTCATCGCCGGCATCACAGGCATGACCGAGCGGATCCCCGATCTCAGGTTGGTCACTGCTTACTCATAAAGGAAGCACTTTCCATACTCCTGACAGGAAGCGGGCACCGCTTACACACTTACACACCGGTCCTTTTAGTGATTTTGCACCAACTCTCCTAGCCAAATCCACCATTTTACACCAGAGAGAGGCAGGTATAGCAGCAGCAGCCCCAGAGGGTTTAGCACATTCTGGCACTGTTCACATATGTCTGTAACTTCACTGAGGGTTTGAAGCTTCACAGCAGCGTCAGGCTTATTTACATTGAAAATCTGGCTTGGGGGAGGATGGGGGGCTGCTCGTCTCTGCCGGGGATCACGTAAAACAGAGCAAAGTTCTGGTCTGCATCACGTCGCTCAGGGTGTTTACATCCAGGCTGTATGTCCCTGACTGTACCGCTGTCCGCATCATCTCCCAGCCTGCCTCTCGGAAAGCCCCTGGGGGGGGTGTAGGGGGGTGTGCAGCAGCCCTTTCCCCAGCCCTTGGGAGTTTACTTTCCCATTTTTTCCTCTCTTTTCCCTGCATTGGATTTTTTTTTTCCTGTTCTTTGTTTTCAGAAGAATATGCACATTGTGCCTGGCATAAGCAGGCAGTTGTCCCTGTCTCCGTTTATAATTAAATCTCAGCCCCCCCTGCTTTTTCTTCGGGCAGTGAGAAAGACACCTATATCGGCTACCTGCCCCTGGCCCACGTGCTGGAGCTGAGCGCCGAGATGGTCTGCATGTTGCACGGCTGTCGCATTGGCTACTCCTCCCCGCAGACGCTTGCCGACCAGGTGAGGAAGCGCAGGCATGTTTGACAGACCCCATTCTGTCTGCTTACGTTATTTTACATGCTTTCCATTTCAATGTTTCTTTCAGGCTGCTATTGCTCTTATGTTATTGTATGTACTGGCAGTATGTACTGGTCCAGAGCATCCACCTGTCTTGAGCCTTATGCTGACTGGGTTTGGCCCCAGATCCCCGCACTGGATGGGACTATGGATGGCCTGAATTTCTGAATAGTCAAACCCACATTCTCATTGGCTAACTGGGAAACCCATTGTTGATAAAGATACGAAGAATCCCCAGTAGAAATCTATGTTTAACCTTGAATTACAGTTCAAATCAACCTGTGACCAATCACCGTTTTATAATAAATGAGCATGCGCCCAATCACGGTTTATAATAAATGAGCATGCGCCCAATCACGGTTTATAATTGATTGACATGCACACATGTGTCACAACGGGTAGATAAGGGAGACGAGGATCCAGAAGTACGGGGAAACAGAGCTTTAATTAGGCAAACAAGTCCAGAGACGGCAAGCGGAAATCGTGGTCGTAAAACGGGAGCAAGGGTCAAAAGCCGGTGAGTCAGTCCAACAGGCACACACAGGACTGGGGAACAGGCGGGCTGGACGACAGGGGGAGCCGGGCTCAGCAGGACAGGCGGGTCAAGGACGGGAGCTGGACTAAGGAGGCAAAGAACAAGAGGTGAGGATTGTACAATAGGCAGACAGGCAAGGGGCGGGATCAAAGGGAGACAGCGGACAGAATAACGCTCAGTAAGGCTGTACATTAGCGCAATACTTCGCGGTTTGTTTGTGTGAGGTACTCTCCTTATATTGAGGAGGTAATCAGTCCCTGATGCCCTGCACCTGTCCGATCCGCCCCTGTGGGCGTGACAACATGAAGTTTTTACCACAAAGACCTTGGGTGATCTGCTTTTCCTGAGCTAGTGGTGTCAAGACCCTGAAATAAAATATAACTACAGTCTGAGGCTGTTCAGAGGACACACCCCCTTCCAGGCATCAGGCTACCCAGCAGACAGCTGCCCCCTGTCAGCATCAGGCTGACTCTGTGCCTGGAACTATGGCCCTGTTCACATGTAGCATTAATATGCATCCTGGGTGATCCGATCACAAGTGGACAGCACCAAAAACGGATTGAAGATGCATTGAGATCCAATCGCTCAAACCACATTCGGAGGTGGTCTGGGACACATATGGCCACATTGTTATAGCAGTGTGAACATGAGTGTGTCCTGGGCCGTACTGAAGGACCACCTACTCAACAGATAGTGTTTAATGCAAGCTTTGATGAAGCTTCCTTATTTATGTAAAAGCTGCTCCACGATTTATTAATATTGGTGAACCGTGTCGGTAAAAATTAAATGAACATAAAATGAAATTGTGTAGGGAAGAATGTGCGTTCAATAGCCTAGATAATGGATATGCTAATAGAAACATATAATAACAGAGTAATTGTTTAGATTGTTTTATATTGAGCTGTCCGGGGGCTTGAACTCCCGGTCAGAAATTCAGTCACACTCCAGCCCTGACTACTTTGCTCCTTTTACTTTACTTGCTCCAAGTCAGACATAATTCAGCGTATCAGACAAACCATTGAGAGCTTCACTGGATATGATTAAAAGCTGAAATATTATCATATGGCAACCAGCACAATGCATTACAGGCTGAACCCTTTGCCCTTGAATAGAAAAGTATTAACCCAAGTACTGAAAGACATTTTTAACATGTACATTTGTATCATGCTGACACGGTATAAAAATGCATGAACTTCATTGTTAAATATAGTTTGAATTATTTAAGAAATCGCATTTGCATTATGTGAAATTATATTTTATCATAATGGCTGTCAAATGAAAATCATGTTATTACGAAATACAATTTAAGGATTTTACGTAGAAGATAAACGTTAAGAAATACACCCTTTACGGAATTATTTAAAAATAAAAGGGCACATTAATTATTGAAATTTTTCATTCTTTCTTTATAGATGTATTTATTTCATTTTTAGTATTATGGCATTCATTATAAACATTTCAACCCTGGAATGCGGCAGTGGCTTTGGTTTCTCCTCCTCCTTTTAATGATCAGCAGATCCTGCATACGGAAGTGATTTATGTGTTTGTTTAAATAAGTTGCGGGAAAGTGATCTGATTACAAACAGTCGGTCGAGACCAATGCGGGGATGCATGTTAATGAACAGGGCCTATGTCTTAGGTCCACATGATGACAGTGTACAGAGAATCAGCAGTGAACTGGATATGCAGTAACTTCAGTCTCTGATTGTAAACTCACTTAAACATGACCGCACCCCTCCTAGCTGGTTGGGGGTATATAAGTCCTTCAGCATTCAGTTGCCGTGATGGCTTTGCGTTTCTTGGTTGGGTTTTGTTCAGTTCTTCGAAGTTGGGTAGGGTTGGAGGATCTGTATCAGGCACAGCTTTGTGATTCTCAGTTCAGGCCTTTAGAATTACATTGGTGGGCCTGTATCAGGCCTGGCTTTGTGATTCTCGATTCAGGCCTTCAGAGTCAGGTTGGCAGGTCTGTATCAGGTGCGGCTTTGTGATTCTCGATTCAGTCCTTCAGAGTCAGGTTGGCAGGTCTGTATCAGGTGCGGCTTTGTGATTCTCGATTCAGGCTTTCAGAGTCAGGTTGGCAGGTCTGTATCAGGTGCGGCTTTGTGATTCTCGATTCAGTCCTTCAGAGTCGGGTTGGCGGGTCTGTATCAGGCACAGCTTTGAGATACTCAGTTGGACTCGGTTCCCACAGCGCCGACCTCGCACAGCCTGCTGTCTTTGATATCTTCCACTTGCCGGCTTACGTTGTCAAGGACGACACACACAAGCACCAGGGCGCACAGCTGTCCCGTTCCCGCCGGACCAGCAGACCACAGAGGTTGTGGGGGAGCCAGGGGGAGGGGAGACCAGGAGACCAGTTAACTGTGGACTAACTGCATCATGGAGGATATGAGTCACTCCTCTGCTGTCTGCGTGTGTTGACCTCTCTTTGTTTCTCAACAGTCGACAAAAATCAAGAGAGGCAGTAAAGGCGACACGAGCGTGCTGCACCCCACACTGATGGTCGCCGTCCCGGTAAGACGATGCCTCACGTGATGCCCTCACCTCGGCCACTGGTGGCTGGAAAGATGATGTCATGAAAACCAGAGTCCCCCCACCCCACTATAAACAGAACATGTGAAAGCTCTTTGTCTGAAACAGCAGAAAATTCTGGATTTTTAAAACTAAAAGGAAGTAAGCCCTAATGGTATTAGTGCCCCTCAGCTTCATGTACCACAGGTCAGAAGACGTGCAAGGACAAAACCAGTGATCCCCGCAGACTCCCAGTCAATAACAGAAGCGGCATTGCATAAACAGTACCGCTGCTTCCTGCCAAAATGCCCCCCCTCACCATCTTTCAAAGCATTACATTGCATCTGTGTGCGAAAAGCAGGAACAGCAAGGAGCACGGCAGCCTGATTGACATGGGTTGTGCACAAGGTCATGACCCATTTTTCTCACCTCCGTAATTTAATTTGTAAAAATCATCAGTAATAATAAAAGATGTATAAGGGCCAAATGTGCCAAAGTCATGTTCCTTTTAAATGTCATTTTGGATGGAAAAGCCTGATCTGTACATTTTGTTCTTGTTATCAAGCTGTTTCTGGGCTCCAGAGTCCAGGGGCTGACATGTATCAGTAAAGGGAATAGATATGTAATGGAAACATGAAAATATGGGTGGGGGGGCTCCTTTTGTTTCCTGTTGAGGCGGGAGCAGGAGCAAATTGTGTCCTCCACTTGACATTCGGCTGTGGGATTACCACACATGCATTCATCCAGCTGCAGCTCTTCCGGTGTGATTCACATGAAATCTTCACCTTAATTATCCACAGCTGGGTACATGCCAATCAGCCTTTCCAGAGCAGGGCTCTCAGGTCCCTCATCTCCCACTTCATCATTCTTCTCCACCAACGAACCCCCCCCCCCCCCCCACAGGAGATCATGGACCGCATCTACAAAAATGTGATGACCAAGGTGGAGGAAATGAGTGGGATTCAGCGCTCACTCTTCATTCTGGCCTACAACTACAAGATGGAGCAGATCTCCAAGGGATATAGCACGCCTCTGTGCGATAGGTACAGCCTCAGTGAGTGTATACACATGTGAGGATGAATGTGTCATCTCAGCAGCTTCAGGCATTACAGTGCATATTCACACATGGCCAACACAAACCCTATACCATAGGCCCAAATGGACACAGTGAACATAACCTTATAACATAATACTTTGTTGAGGTCCCCACATTATAAACTTGTTTCTAACCTCGTCTTGTCTCCTCTGCCCTGATTTGTGATGGACACAGGTTGGTCTTCAGGAAGGTGCGCGCCCTCTTGGGAGGGAAGATCCGGGTTCTGCTCTCGGGTGGTGCCCCGCTGTCACCAGCCACCCAGCGCTTCATGAACATCTGCTTCTGCTGCCACGTGGGACAGGGCTACGGGCTGACGGAGACCTGCGGTGCCGGCACCATCACCGACGGTGAGTGGGTCAGCAGGGCTCGGCTGACCTCCTTTCACATTTCCACTGGGCCTGTAAACTTGAGGGACCTATATGAGGTACAAAGGCTGAGAGATCTGGGCTGTCTGCATCCTTGAAAGGTTTACTGGTGGAATTATGAGGCTACAACTTACATTTCCTTCTTTTTTTCTTTTAATAGTGTGGGACTACAGTACCGGACGAGTCGGTGCTCCACTGATTTGCTCCGAAATCACTCTGAAGGACTGGGATGAGGGTGAGCGAAACAGAGACACAGCCAGCCCCCCTGGTCATAAGCGTAACCCTAACGTTTACAGAACGTCTGCTACAAATGTTATCATCTCCAGCTCAGAGGGTTCTTGGAGGTCCTGGATGGGGAAGCAAGCTTGGTGTCCTTTTAAGGAAGTACACAGATCATGTAATGATGACCTTGTCTTGGTTGCTTCCATTTCGATTAGGTCCAGAAAACGGTTTACCTTAGCTCGTCATTAGAATGGGGAGCCTTCAGACCTTCTGAGAAGTCCAGTTCTGGCATAATATTTTGCATGCTGTTTACATTGGTATACGCACTATCCTACCCTAAAAGTTCCATCGTCTCACAATATCCAGCTGTTAGCCCATCTAAATATTTACTAGCCCTGCTGACATGTCTGAGGTCTGAAGAGCCTTTAATTTGGCATTGAATACCTACCCTTATCTTCTGTGAACATTTTGCGTAGGAAGTGTGGTCCAGTCTATTCTTAAAGAGCTTGGAGGAATTTGGGAGGAGCTATAATGTCGTCAGAAGGAACAGGTTTAAGCTGTGGCCAACATTCTCCTGTTTCACAATGAGCTCATCTTGGTTAGCAAATGAACAAATAGTTTTTTTTATCTTATTTTTTTTTACCTTCTCCATATCAGCCGGGTACCACAGCACAAACAAGCCCAACCCCAGAGGGGAGATCCTGATTGGCGGTCCCAATGTAACAATGGGCTATTACAAGAGCGATTCCAAGAACCAGGAGGACTTCTTTGTGGATGAGAATGGGCAGCGCTGGTTCTGCACCGGGGACATTGGCGAGTTCCACCCTGATGGCTGCCTGAAGATCATTGGTGAGACACTTCCAGGGTCCCTGTTCCTCCCTTCCATCGTCATTCTTTATGTCCATTTCCTTCTTCAAATGTACAGTTTAAAGTCAAGATTGAGTTAATAGACGTGCAATCATTTGTTCAATCACAAACGAGTGATTATATATGATCTCTTTTACTTTGAAGCCTGCCCTAAATCCTTCTGTCCACCTCCACAGATCGAAAGAAGGACCTGGTGAAGCTGCAGGCTGGGGAGTATGTTCCTCTGGGCAAGGTGGAGGCTGTGCTGAAGAACTCTCCCTTGATAGACAACATATGTGCTTATGCCAACAGGTAGGACCTTGTGTCTCAGTTCATCCTCATACAGGGGTCCCGTCCCTCCGTCTCTCATGCATTTTAACTTGGTCCACTTCCCCAGATCTTCTTCATTCCTTTCCTCAGTAACAAATTGACTGGGAACACTGACTGGAAAATAAAGTCATTTGATGGTTTATGATGAAGTGTCACTACACCTGGGCTAGTCAAATCACAGCTACAGATTCCTTGGGGGGGGGGGTGGTTCACAGTTATTTCCCCCCACAGTTTTCACTGGAAAACTTTCCCCCTTCTCTCTCCCTAGTGACCAGACTTATGTAATTGGCTTTGTGGTGCCCAATCAGAAGCAGCTGATATCCCTGGCAGAAGAGAAGGGCATTGTGGGATCCTGGGAAGAGATTTGCAACAGCTCTGAGATGGAGAAGGAGGTGCTGCAGGTGATGATGGATGCCGCGGTTGTAGGTGAGACGGAGACAGGGAGAAAGACATCTGTTTGATGCTCGGTTTGAAAATGCCATTAGCCTTAGCTAAGGACTGTCAGCATCGGATAAGGAACTGGGCAAAAGCAGCCAAGATGATCAGAAATGTGCTCAAGATCACAGACTAATCAGTATCCAAAATCAATAGATTCTAGCTGTGTGGCAGCACATATGTAATCATTCACTCAACTCTAAATTCTTGCCCAGCGACTTGTGTTGGTTACTCCATTAATAATCTGCAAGTTTCACAGATAATCCAATAACAGAAGCTTGAAATACATGTCATCACATCCATCCTCTCCTTGAGTTGTCGATGAACTTATGAACATGGTTTCTGCGCCCCCCCCCCCCCCCACCAGGCAAGCTGGAGAGGTTTGAGGTTCCGCTGAAGATTCGTCTCAGTTCTGAGCCCTGGACTCCTGAGACAGGCCTGGTCACAGACGCCTTCAAGTTGAAGCGCAAGGAGCTGAAGACTCATTACCAGGAAGACATCGAGCGGATGTATGGTGGGAAGTAGAGGGGGGGGGGCGGCTCCCTCCTCTCTCTCTCCGCTACGACCACATCCCATCAGATGGGCCAATACTTGAATTTACTCTGCACATGCAAGACCAAGAACAGCAGGAAGTGGCATCTTCAGTGGGACGGCAGCAGAGAGCCCCTGTAAGATTTTGTGAGACTTGGCAGACTTGAAGAAGGGGCATGTTCATGAGACGTGGTCTGGGGTACCGTAACCGTTCAGCCCTCTCCGTGGAGACCAGAATCCTCCACAGATGAGATGGGGTCAGATTGGCATCTCCAATACCTATATATATATATATATATATACACACACACACACACACACAGTGGTACCTCAGAACTCAAATTTAATCCGTTCAGAACTCTGGATCGAATCCTAAAAAGTTCAAGTTGTGATCGAATTTTTCCCATAAGAAATAATGGAAAACCAATTGATTGGTTCCCGGCCCCAAAAAAATACACCTAAGTATGTTTTTTTTTTTTAGCATTTAAACACAAAATGAACCGGATAAAACAAGAAGAGCATATACTGCACTAAACACATCTAAGCACATTTATCAAAACAGTAATTTGTAAAGTAAGAAAATAAATGTATCCAAACAATGTGTCCTGCCCTGATCGTCCGCTCCTTCCGTGTGCCACGCCCCCTCGTTAACCCTGTGTGGAATCCTCATGTGATCAGCTGATTCTGTTTGTTGTCATTAGTCCTCTGTATTTCATCCGCGTTTCAGTTTGTTTCCCCAGTCCGGTCATTGTATAGTGTCCGTCTGCGTTTTGCCTGTCTTACCTGTAATTAAAACCCGTATTCCCCGATACCCTGACGTCTGCGTCTTTGTCTCCGTTCAGTCCCCGCTGGGCACTACAATATTATTATAATTAAACTTATTACTGGTTTATTATTAATATTAAAATAATGAATAATAAATCTTTATTTTTAAATGTATTTTATTATATAATAATAATTACTGTTACTGTCTAAATGTATTTTTACTGTCTAAATATATGTATTCAGCTAGTGTAAACATGCACGGTGCTATCACAGCGAATGCGAGGCTGAGACTGAAGCGTTACCCTTTGTTTCTGCTGAGAGATGTGCCGCGTGAGTCATTTTCCCGCGCGTACAAGTTATCTTAGGTCGGCGTTCACGGTTTGACTTCTGAGGTTCAGATCGAGCTCTAGGTAATTTTTTTTTCGAACTGGTTCGACTTTTAAGAAATTCGAGTTCTAATGAGTTTGAGAACTGAGGTACCACTATGTGTGTGTGTGTGTGTGTGTGTGTGTGTGTGTGTGTGTGTGTATATATATGTATATTTGTAAATATATATGTGTATATATATGTGTATATATATGTATATATGTGTGTGTGTGTGTGTATATATATATACACACACACACACACATATATACATATATAATATTTCTTGTCTGAGGACCACGTTTCACTGAATCAACATGAGGTCTATTTCCGCAGTTCTTCTTGTTGTATTTGGTGTTTTTTTTTATTTGAGTGTTGTTCTATTCCTCTCCCATCGGATGTTTCTTGGAGTAATCCTTACAGGCTGAGAGTACAGCATAGGTGACAGAATGTTTTGTGCATTTTTGTAATGTGTCCCTGCAGCAGTGATGAATAGTGTTTCTCTTATATAGATGGGTGGATTTCATCCTTGATTATGTAGCTATGGACACAGTGTTTTGAGCATGAGGCATGAAACAGAGAGATTGTTTTTTTTCCAAGGACAGCATCACTGTACAAACAAAGGCAATGAAGGGTTTTTTGTTAATTTCAGCAACGTGTACCGAATCGGTATTTTGTACCTCAGGTGCAAAATAATTTCAGGGCTCCTGTTTCATGAATTCAGGTTATTTGTCTGAGTGCTCATTCTTCCTTTGGGGGCTTGGCTTCTGCTGATGGACCTTCTGAGACCTACCAGACATGAGAGTCCTGGTCGGATGGCTGTGAGTCCCTGAAGCCCCTTTTGTTCCTTTCTGAATCGTCCCCTGAGGTACACAAACAGGGTCACTTACTGTATAAGCATCAAGCGAATGCTTTGTTTTTACCCAGCTAAGCTACCTAAAGGTTCTTTCTCTTGTGTTGAATCCCCATATTGTACAAAAACAGTCCTTTGCTTTTCTATGAGGTAAAGAAGGAACTGTGAGTTCTTGTCTGTTTCTTAGAGAAGCCCATATTGTAGAAAAGGCTGCTCTGCAATGTTTGAATCACATTATTACTGTTGACCATTATATTCGTATAATCTATGTATTCCAGTAGGAAATACCAGAATGTGCAATATTAACCCTGTTTTTTTTTTTGGCCGTGGGGTGCGGGAGGTGTTTGAAGGCAGTGTAGTATTGCATCAGCCACAGCACTGTCCCAAAATGTGCAAAATGACTCTCATGTGCGGATTGACCCCTGTGGAGCACTGGTCGTCTTTATGACACTGTAGCATGTGGCTGAAGAATAGTTCAGGGCTGTATACACCTTACATTTAAAACTGCTGTTTTTGAGGAAAATATGAAATGAGCCAAATGAAAGCATTTCAAGCTAGTATTATGCATCTCCTCTACTGAACATGCTAGGAAAAACATTTTAACATACTATGAATTGTTTTTTTCAACTTGTACTGTGTATACATTGGGAGCAGTGATCAAACTCACTGACGATGCCAGATATATACTATATATTTGAAAACTATATAACCTTTGCTATATTGACCAGTCTCGGGTGTTTCCTTCATGTTGGGATGGGGAAACTGCCTTGTAACATATGTTATTGCAAGTGTATCCAACTTTATTTGTAATTTGCCTTGAAATGACCAAATGAAAGTAAATAAAACTGTGGTTGATTGGTTCAGGTTACTTTTGGCGTGTTGTTGCTTCAGCATTAGAGGAGCCGAGGGCGTGATTTCTATAACGCGTATTTGCGTTATTACTGCTTAGCTGACAGTGACAGTCTGCTTGAAAGACCTCCTGGTCTAATTGGCTTGGTGATGTTCGCTTATTGGACTCCTGACTTCTTTACAGTGCAGGGTCTCCCGGGAACTTTATTAGCTGGTCACGGTTACGTGTTTGTCCACAGCAGCTGAATGAGATCATACGGATAACGGGGGATTAGAAACAAGTCTGGGAAAAGTCTCAGTATTTCATTATACACATCTATCAGTGGCTGTACTCGTTTGTATACGGTGTCCTGAATGAGCCCCCCCGGCTCCCCACCAACAAAAATTGTGTGTCCATGTTCCACCTCTGCCCTCCTGCCATCCAAAAAGAACCATTCAACGCTAAGGCACAACCATAACGATATATAATAAATAACGATAAAAGATTGGCTTAATATTATTTTTTTAGCAATTTCGTACAAATCAGGGAAAAGAGCAACAATATGTCTGTGAAACTATAGGCCTATAGTTACAGTATTATGAATAAAATGGGGTTTATTTGGTAGCCTTTCATAGTGTGACTGATTTTGCTAATTGCATTAGTATTGTACAAACTTCGAGGGGTGCAATTTAATACAGTCCCTCTGACTTGGGGTCCAGCTCACCTCCCCCCCCCCCCCCCCCCCCCCCCCCCCTCCATCTCGTACTTCTGAGTGGTATCCTGCCTGGTTCACAAACTAGAATCTGGGCGTCAACTCTGCCAAGGGTTGGCATGATATCATTAACGTGGCGTGACGTGAGACCCAAGGAAAAAAAGTGTCCTTCAATTTTAGGTTATTTCCTCCAAAGACAAATAAGACATCTTACAATTTTTTCAAATTTATTTTTAATTTCACAGCATGTCCTCTTTAGTGCACAACAGGAATAAATACGTTTCCTAACATCAGTGAAAAGATAGATGCAAAGATAAAATGTCCAATACAATGGACATAAATGAATGGGTGGGATCTCAGGAGGTCATACTTGAAGACACTTTCAGTATTTTAATATTATAAATTTCGACCTGAAGAAATGCTGTTTGTTTCCGCGTACTGTTTATTAATAGGTTAATATTAATAATAACGATAATAATGATCACCAAAACACCAGTGACCACATTATAATAGTGGTAGTATTAGTTTTGTTGTTGTTATTATTATTTCTGTCATTAATAATAGAGATACTCTTGTAGTAATATGAGACTTGTAAGGTTTGTGAGAACCCAGCGCTGGGTTTCCGGACCGTGTTCCCCTTCTCCCGTCCTAAGAACTGCAGTTTTTTAGCTCAAACTTTTCCGCGTCATCCGTGACACCCCGTCGCCCCAGAGCTACTTAAAGGGACCCAGCTGCGGCTTCGGCTCACACGACAGCCGTTCAGCCAGCGAGCCGATCTGCAGTGTGGAACCGTCGGATCTTCAGCAAAGCCTCTTACCGGTAAGAATCCCGCCTTTTGTAACATCAGTAACTTTTTTTCTCAAAATCTTTAAAAACAACAATGTACACAAGACTTGGTTATAATCTCCCCAACTATGATACTTGTTGCGTAATCTTGGATGAGATATAATAACTCGGCCTACAGAAGAGCATCCAAACTTTATTACGGCAAATGAATCTGTTATAACTTTGTTATATTTTATTCATGTTGGAAACAGAATGCTGACGATGGACATCGTTCTCAACAACACCTCCCCGGCCCTCTCCGTGCCCCCACAGCAAACCGGCAGATCCACCGCAAGCACCCCCGGCAGAGGGAGCGGCAATGAGTATCTGTACATTTTAATAGTCATGTCTTTCTACGGGGTCTTTCTCTTCGGAATCATGCTGGGCTACGTGCGCTCCAAAAGGAGGGAGAAGAAGAAGTCCAACGTGTTCACCAGACTGCTGCACGAAGAGGAGCAGCGCGAATGGGGCGCCCTGCAGAAGAAACCCAGCCTCACCCTGCCCACCATCTCAGGCCTGAGGTCCGTCCAGGTGTCGCTTCCTTTCAAGGGACACGGGTGCGACGGCCGGCTCCCCGTTCCGCTGTCTTGTGCGCTGTGTACCATGGAGCAAAGCAGCGTCAGCTCCCTTTGCTCCTCCGCCGACGTGCACTTCGCCATCGAGGAGGAATCCGACAGCCCAGAGGAGGTGGCCGAGGAGGTGGTGAAGACGGCGCCGCCCGGCAGCGAGGAAAACCTCAAAGCGGCTTCGTGATGGTGGAGGACGGTGAGCCGCCCCCAGAAGCGCCGCTGTCTCACGGGCATCAGAAACAGATCTGGAGCTGATGGGAAGCGGACACGGTCATAGGAGACGGGGAATCAGCCGAGTATTTCTGACTGCTGCGACGCGCCTGGAACCCACTTGAACCCTTATACTAGTTTTTCTGGTGAAATAGATTTTTTTTTTTTTAGATGTGCACCATGTGTTTTTTTCCCCCTGTAGGCCTATTAACACGCCTGTTTTCGTATTGTGTGTGTATATAGAGTAAATTAAGAGGTTTTGTAAATATGTTAATTTTATTCATTTATTTATAAACGTTAATTGAATTCACTTTCTCTATGTTTAATAAATCATCCAAATCTATGCCCCATGTGTTTTTATTTACCGGATCCTGCATTTGGTCGAAGACCTTCCAGTAGGGGGCAGTCATGTACAGCTGTGCCTGTACAGTAAGAACCGCAGTAGCCGATAGCGTAATGAGAGCCGCCATGCATTGATGAAACACAGTAAGTCCGTTCCGCCACAGTGATCGCCGTTCAGAATCTCATGCAACTGCATCTAGATTCGATAACTTCATTCTTGTATGACTGTGGCCGAGAATTTTTCTCTATGCAGTTTAATTATCTGTGCTTTATTATTTGATATTGGTGGTTATTGCAAGTTGGTGAACAAATTACAAACTCAAAATCGTGTGACAAAATTTGTCCTCATATAGTAATACTCATCTTAAATTGAGATGTTTATTTTCCTTTTTTATTTGACCAATTCAACCTTGTTATTTGTTGAAAAAATATTTGTCTATATCCGCAATTTAAGTAACCTATACAGACGTTTCATTAATTTCCCCTTACAATTAGCATTTAGTGAAGTTGAAATACAATACTCAATCAACAACGTGACCACAGTATCATCGATACGAGCTTCTTCTCGCTGCTGTGATGTGCTATATAACCATCCCCTTTACAAACAACAAATTGCTCAACAATTTTGCACAATGGTGTGTGTATACGTGTGATCATGTGTGCACACACACGTGTGTGTCTTTGTACATGTGTGTGTCTGTGTGTACATATGTATGCTTGTGTATGAGCGTGTGTGTGTGTGTGTGTGCATGCTCGTGTATGTGTACATGTGGGTGGGTGTGTGTGTGTGAGAGAGCGAGGGGAGAGAAATACTCAGCACATTAACGAGTGTGAACGCAGACTGCGCTTGACTTCGAGTCCGGTTCCCAAACGCACTAGAGCAGTGGAACGGTGATGAGTTCGATTGTGTCATGTCTCCCCACGTAGCCCCCCCCCCCCCCCAGCACAGCTCAGCGTCTCCCCCAGGACAGGCCCTGCAGTCCAGGGCCTGGGGGGATTTCTCCAGCGTCAAAAGGAAGATTCAGACCAAAGGTCGCCCCTCAATGACTCTCATTCAGGAGGTCAGATTCGGTCGATCGCTCCCTGCTGGGTGGAATTTACGCTGCAGAGCTCTGCCACAGCTGTTACCACGGAGACCAGGCCATCACTGATCCCCGTGTCTAGAAGACAGACCACACGATTTACCTCCAACAGCGCACAACGTTTGCTGTGCCCATGCCGATCGTCACCCTGGTCCCTTATGCTTCTGCTAAAACACATTTACTTCCAAAAACAAAGGCAATTTTCTTTGACTTTGAAGATCACCAGCACTTATAAAGCACTTATTATGCTTTAGAGCAGGTTCTCAGAAAGCTGTCCTTGGGCCGCACTGGACGGATCCACATTATTGTTTTATCCCACTTCCCAGACACCTGTAAGTTATTTAGAGCTCCTGATTGCTTGGGTCAGGTTTCCTGGGAACTGGGATAAAACAAAAATGTGGATCTGTCCAGTGTGCCCCGAGGACTTATTTGGGAAACATTGCTTTAGAGATTTAATGGGCACAGCTCCTCCCCGCCACCCTTAACTTTAATTTGGGAACCTGGACAAGCCCCCCAGACATGAGACACACACCTGGTGGAGGGTTCCAGGGAAATCCCTGTAGAAGCTGCAGTCACATTGCCGATCGTGTCCAGCTGACCCCAGCTATGCAGAGCCAAGCAGACATCTGTATGTGCAAGACCCAAGCAGCCTGCTGGGATGTGGAAGGTCACTGGCGAGAACACAGAGTCCGCAGAGGACATGGGTTCCATATGAAACGCCATCTATTATTAATCACAGTTTCTGAATGAAACCGAAGGAGCGCTGAATTATTTATATGCATAACGATTTTATAACAGTAAATACTTAAATGTATTTAAAGTCCAAATATCTGATGGATCATTGATGTTTTTTTAAATCCCTTTAAAATGAACTAATGTCAAAAAGGACCTCTCAAATTGTTCAGATCTTTAAAACCCTCTCTTCTGGGGGCAGAAGAAGTAGTCCAAGTCACAGAGTGAAGCTCGGCCATCTCATTCAGTGAAGGCTTGAGGGCTGCTTCAGCATACGTAACCCCAACTAACTTCACACTGGTGCTTCATTACTACTGGATGTCAAAAGTGATGGTCGCGCAGTTCCTCCAATGAGAACTTAGATCTTCTGCATCATGTGAATATTTAAAAGGAAACCGTGACAGGGTTTCTGGGTAAGTGAGTATAGTTCCTGGCCAGCCTGTATGCTGTGGATTGTAGAGTCTGAAACACAACTCAGAGTAACACCTGGGAGGGAGTAATATGGGGGCTGACTGAGTAACTCGAGCTTCAGGGTTGATATCTGTCACATACGAGTCCATTGGCGTCTTCTGTTTATCACCATATTTGGAAAGAGGGTGTGTGTGTGTGTACATGGGGTGTGTGTATGTGGTGTGTGTGTGTGTGTGTGTGTGTACGTACGTGGTGTGCGTGTGTGTGTGTACGTACGTGGTGTGCGTGTGTGTGTGTGTGTACGTACGTGGTGTGCGTGTGTGTGTGTGTGTACGTACGTGGTGTGTGTATACGTGTGTGTGTGTGTGTGTGTACGTACGTGGTGTGTGTGTATATGTGGTGTGTGTGTGTGTGGTGTGCCCCTGAAGATGCCTCTGTGACTGTATCCTACTCCTGGGTCTCTCACCTGACCTTATAGGACACTGGCGGGAGAAGACGGGAATGTCAAAAATAAAACAGCAAGCCTGCAGAACACAGGAAGAGAGTATTAATATCCATTAGCGGGAAAGGAGTCATTGCCTGTCCTGCCACATGCATTATTAATGAGGGTTCGAGGGGCTTCGTTTTTCAGCCATTGCTTCCGGGCAGAGTTAAAGTGCACAGCTACTCGGAGTATGAGCATCTCTGATACATCCACCGGTCAAAAAGGGATGGAGTACAGGGCTTTGCTCACCCAGCCCAAGGTGCATCTGCGAGCCTGTCCAGGGCAGGAAGCAGTCGGAAGCTGGATGGGTGGATGGATGCTGCATATAGGAAAGTAAATATAAACAGGCATTAAAATAGGAAATGTAGTAGTATTTTGGCATTTTATTTTAGATTAATGACCGCATGAGAATGCAGGTAATTATCATTAAATGGTACATTTATTTTACAAAGCTGCTCCAAAGTGTGGGGTGGCATGGTGTGTGTGTGTGTGTGTGTGTGTGTGTGTGAGAGAGAGAGAGAGAGAGAGAGAGTGTGTGTGTGTGAGAGAGAGAGTGTGTGTGTGTGAGAGAGAGAGAGAGTGTGTGTGTGTGTGAGAGAGAGAGAGAGAGAGAGAGTGTGTTTGTGTGTGTGGGGGGGGGGTTGCATAGATCACATTTGGGGATTAAAAATATGTAGTTAAATAAACTGTGATTTGGGCAGTACGGTGGCACAGTGTTGCCTTACACCTCTGGGACCCGGGTTCGAGTCTCTGCCATAGCTCCGTGTGTTGTTGTTCCCCCCCCCTCCAGTTCAAAAACATCCTGGGATGTTTCCTGGTGTGGTCTCTGGGATGGGCTCTGGACCCCTAAGACCCTGAATATGATAAATGGTGACTGAAAATGGATGAATGGATACATTACAATTAATAATCAAAATGTTGGGTTATTACAAATGGGTTACATTTGTACAATCAGACCTCGGACAGTCGCGAGGTTAGGTTCCAAAACCCGTCGCGAACTAGGATTCGCTGATGTTTGGTAGAGTCACTAAAAATGGTAATAAGTGCTTATTTCTATAGTTTAATCCCTAAATATGACCCCAGTCATGCTCCCAAAACACTTTAATTTCATTTCAAAGTTAGCTTAATACATTACCTTTTAAAAAAAACAAATGTTTGATGTAAAAATAGAGTACAGTATCGCGTAACGGATATTTGTCACACTGCTAATGTTACCCCTACTAATTCATAGAACACGTCATTGGCTGCCGTTTTCTCTTGCATTCACAGTAAGGTAAAATGAGTAAACGAACGGGACTGTAAACTTACTGACAGAAGTCATATACGTAACCAAGGTATAATTCAATAAAATACGTAAACATGTACGTACGTACAGGGCACAGGTATTCAATCAATTAAAAATTGTATACGTAAAGACCTACAGAAATAATAAGTTGTAAATATACTATGTGTGCGCTTACCACGAAAAAGAGAGAACAAAAATACATACACACACATTAAAAACACTGAGAAAAAAAACAGTAGAATGAAATTTTTGCAGATCTGTGAATTTGTGAATCACGAAGCGCGAATGCACGAGGTCTGACTGTATTCTCTTTTTTGCATGTAAAGTGAATAAAATTTAATGATAAAAAATGTTTGTAAACCCTAAAATTACACAAATTTGCTTCTGTCTGCAACAGTCTGTCCGGCAAGGCTGTTGGCTGGCTATGTGTAAACACAAGATATGATTGGTCGGTACCTCGTTAGAATTCAGGTAATCTGGACTAAATGTAAGTGAACGAAAATAAAGTCAATTTAAAATTGGGTATCCTGAACTAAGTGCAGAATAGGTGTCTGTATCTCAGATAACTTGTCAGATTTAAGGTACCGTACTTTAAATGGACTATCTTAGTTCACTTTAGCCCAGACTACCCTAAATCTGACAAGTTATCCAGCTAAGAAAGAAATCCCAGCTTCGTGTTACGAAATAGCAAAATAGAGCTTCTCCTACAGAAATGCTTATATCTGACAAATGGAATATCATAGAAAGAAAATTGCATGCCGGATTTATTCCGGAGAATTAAAAAATAATTGGATATCCAATTGGATAAGTCTTAAATATCCCCTGGTGTCACGGTTGTGGGCATCTCGGGCACGGGAACGAGGCATGGTGCAGGCACGGAAAGGATGGCGGACGACCCACTTGCGGCTCAGAGAACAAAACAGGGTTTATTTAACTGAATAAAGAAAAACACAAGGAAGGGCTAACAAAACAAAAGGACCACGAGGGGTCGAAAACTAAAAAGGGAT